AAGCTGGATACAACATTTTTAAAGGCATAGAATATTAACATATTTCTAGTAGATAACACTTTCTGAGTTCTTACATCAAAAAACTTGCTTGTAGCAGATATTCAATGACCATTCATTGGATTGGGTACGTGGATGGATGAATGGATAGATGAATAAACATATATATAAAACTGAAAATATATAGTTTCCAGATTTGTAGCTGAGGCTCCCGATAATGTTTCTGCTCTTATCAGCTGCCTGGCTCCTCCTAGGGTGTCTCTGCTTGAATTTCTCCAGCCTCAGGAGACTCGTCCTCTGCCCACCCAGCTTTCCCAGCCAAGCTGATGCTGAGAGGCTGGGAAAGGTCACTGAACTGTTCTTTCCCATAGCCCCAGTGGAAGAAGTCCTCCTCTGGGGGCTGAGAGGAATCCTGTGGGCGAGCTCGCTAGACTCAGGTCCATGCTATAAACTGGAACAGGGGCAGACGTCATGGGAATGTCAGGGTCCCTCCACTCACCCTTGTCTCCCTGGGCTCCAGACCCTATCCTTGTTGCCATGGATAGGATGTGCAGATTCCTCCAGACACTTGGATGCTGTCCTAGTGCACAAGTACAAAGGGTCACCACTCATCTCAGAGACACTCTATTAACATGATCTGTTGGTTGCTCTCATTTTAGTTATTTGGTGGTCAAGCCAATACCATGTATACATAACTTTAATATGTTGAAATAACTCTGTCCTCATTTTCTTTTCAAAAGCCAAGATTCTGCAGAGTGTTGTGGAGTCATTCAGAGTGGCCCATGTCACTTTGCACTAGGCAGTGGGTGAGTCAGGGCTGAGTGGTGCTTCCCCTGCCTGGGAAATTCCTAAACGTATGACAAGGCATAACCCAGCAGGGAGGGTTGGAAGTGCTAGGGGTGTGAATGCTGAGCTGCATAGTCACCAGGAAGCCAGTTAGAGGTCAATTCCTGTCTCATTTAGGATACTCTCCACTGCGAATTTACTCCTTTTTAACCCTGTTGGGTTCATAGTGGATAATTACAAATGGACAGTGTATTTTATTTAAAAATATATTTTCTCATTAAAATTAAATATGAGAATAAATCGGCCAGGCACGGTGGCTCACACCTGTAATCCCAGCACTTTAGGAGGTTGAGTTGGGTAGATCACTTGTGGTCAGGAGTTTGAGACCAGCCTGGCCAACATGGCAAAACCTTATTCCTACTAAAAAGAAAAAATTAGCCTGGCATGGTGGCATGTACCTGTAATCCCAGCTACTTAGGAGACTGAGGCAGAAGAATTGCTTGAACCCAGGAGGTAGAGTTTGCAGTGAGCTGAGATCATGCCACTGCACTGCAGCCTGGGTGACAGAGTGAGATTCTGTCTCGAAATAGAAATAAAATAAACCAGAGAATGTAAAAATACATTTTAAATTAATCAATGAAAAAACGTTACCTCTAAGACTAATGTGCATAATAAACTATAATAAGGTTTCTAAGTCAAGCCCATGCTGAAATGATCACTTTATTCACCTTCACCTACATAATTTACCCCAGCACTGAGAAATAGCTAATTATTTCTCCTTTACTCCTTTTCCTCAATGCATATTCGATTTAGCCTTAAAGATTCCAGACCTTGACCTACAAAGGTACAGACAGCAGATGTTTTTTTGTTGCTAAGTAATGTTCAGCTAAGAGGAAAGTAACCTCAGAGTTTGGCTTAGACCCCATAAAACCTAATGAAGTAAACACAAACTCTTTTCATCAGACTTAACTAAGATGGTTCTGTTTTGTATTTTGCAAAAATAATTCTATGGGGGAAGGAACACTAAATCTAATGGAGAGACAGACTCTTTGAATCAAAAGAATAATTCTGGCAGTCGTGTGTCCTGTAGACAAATCTCTTAGGCATCTCTGGTGTGCTCAGAACTCTCTCTTCCTTTTCATTCTTGGAGTGCTTGAGTCCATACTTTGAAGTGGAGCCAGGCAGGGGGCAGTGGGTGGAGGAAATTTCTTCTTAGAGATCCTTAGGAGCAGAGAGCATAGCCATCCTGCAGTGCAAACCTATGTAGTCCAGACCTCAGTATGCTGGAGAATCAATACCACATTTGCCCATGTCCTGAGAGACTGTGAGTGAAGGGCTTCACATCTCTGATCACACACAGGAAGCCTGTTGTGCAAACCTTAGTTATTTAGTTTTTACTTTGCTATTTAGATCTCTGGCAATTGTATATTGGTTACTGCCGTTGTTTTTCATCTTACTGTAGTGGGTGGAATATTTAGCTAGAATCTCTACAACAAGAATGTTATCTTCTTCTAGCAAGTCACTTCGTGTATAAATTTCATTTTATCAAAAATAATTTCCTATAATTAATTGCTTTGATTCCTTGAAAGCACCATGGATCTGAGCCTGAGTTTGTTTGTCTGATCTTCCCATGAACCAGTGTTTCTTGAGCTAAATTAGGTGGTGATTCAAGCCATGAGGAGATTCCTATGTGATTTTTAGCAACATGGGAGGAGTTATGGGAAGCCATAACCTGTGCTTGTGTGTCGGGTTCTGTGCCCAGCCTGCTAGTGTTCCAGCCCCAGCTTCCCACTCACTTGCCTAGGACCTAACCTCTCTGTGCCTCAAGTCATTCATTTCTGGAACAACCCCCAGGGCAGTTGTGAGGATGGAGATGGGATAATTGAATGAGTTTATTATTTTAATTATTATTATTACTAATGTTATTTTTTTTAGTCCAGTAGAGTTCAGATAGCAGGGGGAAAAAAATCTATTTTAGTGGCTCAGCCTCGCTCAGGCCCCTGACACGCTGTGCCTTGCACAGTGGCTTACATTTGTTTTGTTTTCTTGGCTCTGCAACTTTCTACTTCCCCACCAGGTTGTGCAGGCTCCCTCACAGTGAGGACTATTTCATTAAGATTTGTATTCTGTAATATCTATTTTAGAAATGCTTTGGCCTTTCTCATATGAACTGTTAGTACAATAATCAATGTCCTACATCACGGCTCCATGATGTAGGTTGAAATCTGTAACCTCAGGACAGGATCGAGAGGACAGAAAGCAAGCACCGCATTAGGATTGGTCTGGGGACGTAGGGCAATTGCAGACTAAGCAACTCCCGGACAGAGTGAGGACGCGGTTCCAGGCCTCCTTTGAGTTCCGTCTGTACTAGAAACATCCATTTCCCCAGTTATTTGACTGCTGAAATTGGTGGAGGTAGAGTGTGATCTTGCAATTTGAACTCTCAAGTGGGAATGTTTCAGCAACTGGATCTGTTCCAAATGCTCTCTTAAACGGTTATTCAAACAACAACTCCATTCTCTCTGTTTAACAATCCTGTGCCAGGAGAATTTACCATGATACCAGATGGACAGTTGGTGTGTGTGTGGGAGAGGATTTATTAGACTAGATCACATACACATTGGCATACATGTGAGTAGAAATGTGGACAGGAATAAATACTGTTTGAAATATCACAGGGTATATTATGTACATCAGCTTCCTGGTGTGAGATCATTAGATGTTGCGTGATTATGGAACCATTGAAATGAGCCCATTTAGTCTCTGTTTTTGTTTTTGTTTTTGCTGTGGTAAGAACACTCAACATAAAATCTACCTACACTCTTAACAGGCTTTTGAATGCACAATACGGTATTGTTAAGTATAGGTATACAACGACGTATAGTAGATCTCTAGCTCTGACTCATTTTGAATAACTGGAAGTTTATGCCAGCTATACAGCAGTTCTCCATTTCCCTCTTCCCCTAGTCCCTGGCAACCACCATTTTACTCACTGCTTCTATGAGTTTGACTATTTTAGATACCTGATCTAAGTGGAATGACATATTATTTGTCTTTCTGTGTCTGACTTGTTTCACATAGCATAATGTCCTCCCCTAGGTTCATCCATGTTGTTGCATCTGGCAGGATCTCATTTTTTAAGGTTGAATAATATTTCATTGTATGTACCTCCCACATTTGCTTTATCCATTCATCTCTTGATGGACATTTAGGTTGTGTTGAAATCTTGGTTATTGTGAGAAATGCTGCAGTGAACATGGGAATGCAGATGTCTCTCAGAGATCCTAATTTCAGTTTTTTGGTTATATACCCAGAAGTGGGATTGCTAGATCTTACAGTAATTCTATCTTTATCTATTTTTTATTTTATTTTGTGATGGTGTTTCATTCTGTCACCCAGGCTGGAGTACACTGGTGCCATCTCAGCTCACTGCAACCTCCGCCTCACAGGTTCCTGCGATTCTGCTACCTCAGCCTCCTGAGTAGTGAGGATGACAGATGTGCACCACCATGCCCAGCTAATTTTTGTATTTTTAGTAGAGACAGGGCTTCACCATGTTGGCCAGGCTGGTCTCGAACTCCTGGCCTCAGGTGATCCACCTGTCTTGGCCTCCCAAAATGTTGGGATTACAGGCGTGAGTCACCACACGCGGCCTCTGTTTTTAATTTTTTGAGGACCCTCCACATTGTTTTCCAAAGCAGCTGCACCATTGTGCATTCCCTCCAACAGTGTACAAGGGCTGCAATTTCTCCACATCCTTGCCATCACTGATCTTTTGTTTTTTGGATAATAGCCATTCTGGCAGGTATGAGGTGATGGTCATTGTGGTTTTGATTTGCATTTCCCTGTTGATTCATGATGCTGAGCATCTTTTCATATACTTGTCGGCCACTCATCTGCAGGTTCATCATACCATACAGAGCTCTCCAGAACACATGGTTGGTTGTACATCAGGCCCTGACACAATCTAGGGTACACATTAGAATCTTCTGAGCCCTGAGCTGCCTTGTGTGCATTTAGACAGCCAAGATCTAAGACACTTGCCGTTACTATAAGTCACAAGGACTTATTTTTGCCTTGGTGCATGGGTATGCAAGGGTACTCCCTGGAGACAAAGCTCCAATTTAGGTTGCAAACAGAAAAAACTGTCAGCAAGTGCTTCCTTCAGTGAGGATAGATATGGGTAGTTTTTTTTAAAATTCGAAAGTTCTAGGAAAACACATGCCTGCCTTTTATATTGCTGATATTACAGCCATTATCAAATACTTGATCAGTTCCTCTAACTGTCTAACATACCATATAACTTTTAGAGAAAATACTGTTGAATTCTGCAAGTTTGTGTAAACTAATGAATCACAAAATTTCCAGTTAGATTGCAAACTTATTTCTAAATTGGGTTTAAATATTTTTCTTTTTACTTTCTGCAAATTAGAATATTGTCATAAAGATGATATTTTTTGCTCTGGTTTCTCAAAAATGCTTTCTTTTTACCTTTGCCAATATCTAAAAAGAAGCATTACACCATAATGATGTAATATATCATGACAGCCGTATTAAAATACAATCTAAGTTATTCTAGCTAAAACAATCTTATGCCCTGAATGATTTTGGCATCCTCTGTCATAGTTGCTCCTGTTTCTTTGTGTAGGCTACAAAGAACTTTAAAATATGACACTCTTTACATATAGCAATAGTGAGTCTCTCCTCAGCTTTTTATTTGAGTTGGCCGTGGTTATGATTGGTGCTTCACTCGTGATTAGGATCTAACACCTTGTTTGACAAAATCCTGTAGCTTTGTCCTGGGACTCAGCAATAATAGGGAAGGTATGGCTAGCAAGAGAGAGGCACAGTCAGGAGTTAGCTAAAGAGAAAATCATATTTGACATTGTCACAAGCCCAAGCCAACATGAGGTCTTGGTTTTAGCAAGATCAGCTAATAAAGGACTGAGTCTTAAAGTCTCCCAGATTCAGGTGGGCCACCTGACCACAGCATTTGGCAGGCCAGTCTACAGGTACCAAGAGCCCAGTCTAAAGAATTCAAGAGGCTAACTTGAGCAGGCAGAGACATGTGCTGGGTTATGAGCTGTCATGGAAATGGTTAGTCAAGAAACCAGTTCGGCCTAATGTTCACATTGTAAAACTGCACCCTTAATAGCTAACTCGACATATGGCTGCAGATTTTCAGATTCCTCTCTGTAGTGATTTAAACATAGTGTCAAGTCTGTGTGGAGGTACTTAATTTGGTCACTTTGTGCCTGAATTTACCGAGCATTCTTCAGTTGCCTTCCTCATGGGACCCATTAGCTTTTCTCTATCCCACTGTCAAGGAGTAAACCATACTCCAATTAGTAAAGGAGCTTGTGACTTGAGCTACTTACCTTGGCTTTAAGTCTTCTCTGGCTAGTTAGATGGCAAAGGTGAGAGCTGGCTGGGGCTTTACATCAATAACCGTACAAGGTGGTTCATGGTTGTTCTCAGGGGCTGGAATTAGTATGACACCTCTTGCGCTCTGCTGTCATACTTGTACTTAGATACGATAGATTTAGAAATATTTTCTGAAAGAATGAATAAAGGGAACTGAAAAAGTGTAGGGAGGAATCTGTAAAGCCAGATCTGTCACCAAGAGGAAGACTCCAAATGCAGCCCTGCGAGGGGTCAGAAGCCTCGTTGCTACGTGCACTGATGCACGGAAGCCTTCCTGGAGTGCAGATTGCATTTTGTTTCCCTTACTAAACGGAATCCACTTGGCTTCCATTTAGTAACTCCTTTCGCTTGGCTGGGATTGGATTACGGAAGGGCTGTGACGTTGTGTTCCTTCACAGTGGATGGCGCGTGGTCTTGCTGGTCCCCCTGGACGAAATGTTCAGCAACATGCGGCGGTGGACACTATATGAGGACCCGCTCTTGCTCCAATCCGGCCCCGGCCTATGGAGGGGACATCTGCCTGGGGCTGCACACAGAAGAGGCACTCTGCAACACGCAGCCCTGCCCAGGTAAGCGGCTCCTCACCTACTGCACAGCTTTGGGACAAATTGGCCTCTTTCCTTAATGGATAAATGGTGAAGTTGATAATACCCCATCCCAGTAAGTACTGAAAGGGGGGTGGACAAGTTAACAACATGCTGTTACCCTTGAAGTGACTTTAAAACATAGCATCTACAATAAAACAGTTCCCACTGTGCCACAGATTCAGAACTCGTGTTCGAAGCCTGTAGCCCAGCAATGGGAGAGGGCGAAAGGCTTCAAACACGAGTTCTGAATCTGTGGCTTGGTACAACACCCAATCTCCCTAATTAGGAAACATCAGCATTCCAATTTATTCTTGACTTTGCTAATAACACTAGTGACCCACAGGCAACACCTTGCTGTGTGGAGGGAGAGAGAAAGTCCAAGGAAATGTGGGAAAGAACGAGCATTTGTACTGCCCCGCTCCGAGTCTGGAGGTCTGAGTCGGGAAATCGCCTGCAGCTTTTTGGTCTCAAAACCAGCCTGGGTGCAGCCACGTGCCTTCCAAAGATCTCCAGACCTGTGTTCCAGGAATGATTTCTAAAATGTGACAGGAGGACACTAAGCACTCTTGGAGGATGCTTCATCTATTGGCAATGGGCTGTAATTTAGAGGCAGTGCAATTAAAGGAAAGAAAAAGCATGACATCACATCAGTAAGAGGAGGAGCACAGCAAACCACAGAAACTGGTGATAGCAAAGCATTCTTCAAGCCAGTAGCCTAATAACGGAGTCTGAGGTTTTGTTGTTGAAAATCAGGGTGGGGAGCAGGGAGCACCGCTGTGAAGTGCAACACACAGGAGCCAGACATGGGCCCGTGGGTGTGGCAGCTCCTGGCTCCAAGCTCCCTGTGGCTGATGTAGGTGCCCAGGGACTCCACCACCACCACCACACCAGAAATAGCTTGGTTTACTGACATGAAGGAACCACCTGGAATGAAAATGAGCTATTCTTTTCTTGGTCTAACTTTGACACTGAAACACACACTTTTGTTTTTAGCTTGCTCCTGCACATCTTTCTAGGAGGTTCTATGTATATTGAAAAGGGCCTTGAAGCCAGATTCTCACTGTCATTCCAAAAACTGACACTTTCTGCATTTCTAAGGAAATATTGTACCCTTTACCTCGAGCAACACACAAGTTTGATTTTCAAATTTTCCCTGCCACTGCAAAGTGGACGCTTCTATTTAAAAAGGGGGGAAAAGCAAACTGCATGGAAAAATACCTTATTATCCGGGCTAAAATTTCATAAACAATATTGAGAGTTTACTTTTTTAACCCTCTTACTTATATAGCAGTGTTACTCCTTCCTTCTCACACGTTTGTATGGCTGGGTGAATTTCACAAATCCTGGTAAATGTTCCACTTCGGGGTGAAGTTTCCTTTCAATGCCCATCTTTTGGCCTTGACCCAAGACTTATGCATTGACCTTATCTCTTCAGAGACAGCAGACACGAGATAAGATGAATTCTACCTTAAAGGTAGCCTGATTTTGGCATGTTGACTCTGAGGAATTGTTTTTATGACGGAAGAGAAAGTAATTGTGTAGCCTCAGACTCCCTTTGAGCAACCTGAGACCTTCATGAGCACACAATTACTTCTCTTGCCTGAGCACAGAGGAAGTGGAGAATTTTCAGGAAAGCATTTGATGCTCTTTGAGGGGAGCATTACCCATAGGGAAATGGCACCTGCATTGATGACTTAGGTGCCTCTGCTGCTGATGGTACACACACAGCTGGGTCTCATGGATTCACTTATTGAGTGTATAAATACAATTACTTTACAATGTTAAAATAATGTGGGTCTTAGGAAATTTATTTTAAGCACATGATATCTGATCAGATATATACCAGCGCAGGCATTTTTATTCATCCTCATGTGTACTGTATGTACTGGACCTGTTAGATGATACAACTACATCTTACTGATGCACAGAACCATTAAAAACATGCTATGGAATCCAGAAATCACACATGTAACTTGCCAGTGAGTCCAGGATGATTGAGCTTATTGGCCATTCCGCCCCATCTCCCCTCTTCTGATCTCTGCAGAGAGCTGGTCAGAGTGGTCGGACTGGTCTGAGTGCGAAGCCTCTGGTGTCCAAGTCCGTGCCCGCCAGTGCATCCTCCTGTTCCCCGTGGGCAGCCAGTGCTCCGGGAACACCACGGAGAGCCGGCCGTGTGTGTTTGGCTCTAATTTCATCCCAGGTAAGAGCAGAGGTATCTGTCAATAAGAACAAAATCACTTCCAACATGGAGAGAGAAAATGATTCATAGGTCAGAGTTGTATTTGGCTTATTTGGTGATATAGAAATGATTCTATCAAGCCCTGTGGTTTCAAGATGTTTAAAATGTAGGTCTATAGATAACTGCAGATTTAAACATGAATTCAGTTCATGAGTTTAAGATTTCTTAGGCAAAGTGTCTTTTGCAGTTTATTGACTATAATACAATCAGAAGACTTTGCTCAAAAAATGAAAATATTGTTACTATTAAGTCTGATTTAGTTATTTGCTTATTTTAACATTAGGTTAAATGTTTAGGCAATGCTCACTGTGTATGCACTGGTACACAGAGAAAACGCACCATTCTCTTTATCTAATCTTTAATATACTTGGGAAGGTAGAAATGCATCATTATTCTCCTGTTGGAGAAGAGGTTGGCCCTCATTCTACCAGCTTTTCATGGTAAAGTCATAGTTGTTGGTGATAGCTGGTCACCTGTTGTACGCTCACTGTAACAAGGTGTTATACGAATGCATAAATCATTGCGCATATGTCCACTGTGTGCCTTAGGACTGTTACGTGGACCAGCCTCTTACAAATAAATAGTAGAGTTGAATTCTATAAGCCAGTTTTATTTGTGTTCTTTCGTCTGTGTAGAAGATACTATTTTAGAGAAAATTAGTACACCATACCTCAATCATGTATGACACAGAACTATAAGAGTGGTTATTACTATTTTCCTTTTTAACCATAGTCATATTTTTAATTCTTGTTGTCTAATAAAAAATCAGTACAGGAAAGGATGGTGTTTCTAGACTCCTGAGTGATGTTTTATCCTCGGGAGTTAAAACACGTCGGAGATGTGGCCTCTCTCTGCATCCTGCTGTGGGTTTCACGTGTGGCATGCAAAGAGATCAGGGACGTCCTGAAGAGGGACTTAACTTGTTCTGGAGACGTTCTTGAGCTCTGGTGAATGGGCCGTCCCTCTGCTGGGAAGGTGACAACACTGGCTTTGATGGAACAAGTCTCAGAAGCAAGAATGCCACAGGAGTACTCTGTGTGTTGGGCAGAGCAGGGGGTTCCCCCGTGGCAGGACACCTTGTAATGGAAAATGAGCACATTCCCTGCTTTCAACCCGAGAGACCATAGCATTATCTTTCTGTGATAAATGAATCTTATCTCTCCCCAGTCAAAGTGATTTGGCCAAATCCATATCATGTTGGTTAAAACAAGCAAACGAACAAGTAGAATTTTTCTGGTAATTAATCAGGCTTTTGAAACTTGATGTCACATAAAATTCAGAATCATTAGACAAACATACACGAAGCATGAACTGTCTTCCCAACACCTTTTACACATTGTGATTTGACTTTTATTTTTCCAGAAGTATCTGTGGCAAGATCCAGTAGCGTAGAAGAGAAAAGGTGTGGAGGTACGTTATTCCTTTTAAGTAATTGTAACGGGTATACTGATATAGTCTAATCATTTCCCTTCCTGCATGTTTTCTATAATGTTTCTGCCTCTTGGCCAAGAATGAAAAACTGGAGAAAGTCATGGATCCCAGGCATTCTACCTTGGCATAAATGCTAATAGTCAATATTTGATGTGCAGATCGGTGGTTCTCAAAGTGGGGTGCCTAGACCCACGTCAAGAGCATGGCCTGGGAACTCGATGGAAATGCAGATCCTCAGGACCCACCTTGATCCACAGAATCAGGACCTCCCTGGGAAGGTCCCAGCAGTCGGTGGTTCAATTCACCCTGCAGGTGATTCTGATGGATGCTAAGCTTTATGAACCAGTGGTCTCGGTATTCACTATAGCTAGTTTGATGAGTAAAGTAGAATTCAAACAATTTGTTTATATTTATACAACAAATCCATGGCAGCTAGCCTCCAATCTGCAACCCACTGAAATGACTAAATTGTAATGAGGTATAAGGTTATACCCATAGTGCTAGAGGAATTTTTCAAACCCGCTGCCACCCTGAATGTCAAAGACAACATTATCTGATTCAAGTCCATGACAAATTTGGACTTCACAGTCTGTGCCTTACATATACCCATAAAGTACTTGTTGGTGTTGTGAACATACCTGGACACAGAGGTTGGCTGTCCAGCAACCAAGGAACAGCCCATGTCCGCCTTTCGGAATCCAAGCCAGTGTCTACATTGAGACCTTCACTTCCACATGTGTGACTGATGATGATAGACTCCCATTTGCTCTCCTAATCCATTCCACAGGGTGTCCCAGAGAGCCCAGCCCAACAGGCATTGCCTCTGACATGTTCACATGGAACCTGAAGCTTCATAGGCATGTTTCAGGAATGTATCATTCCTAACTACCATTGTCAACTACCTTGATTAGGAGCTTACTGGCTGGGCACAGTGCCTCATGCCTGTAATCCCAGCACTTTGGGAGGCCGAGGCAGACAGATCACCTGAGGTCAGGAGTTCGAGACCAGCCTTGCCAACATGGTGAAACACCATCTCTAACAAAAAATATAAAAATTTTTTGTTAGACATGGTGGCACACACCTGTAGTCCCAGCTACTGGAGAGGCTGAGGCAGGAGAATCTTTGAACTTGGGAGGCGGAGGTTGCAGTGAGCTGAGATTGTGCCACTGCATTCCAGCCTGGGTGACAGAATGAGACCCTGTATCAAAAATAAATAAATAAATAAATAATAGAAGAGCTCACTATCTGTGACATTCTGTCTGCTCAGTCAGCAGTCTGTTAGTTCATTCACTCATTCATTCATTCAGTAAACCTTGCTGAACACCTGCTCTGTGTCAGTTTTGTAAAGACCATTGAGCTTATGATGGGCACCCAGGCAGTCTCAGGCCCTCTGACAAGCAATCATATCATCAGAGACCCCAGTGCCTCAGAAGGGCAATGTTAGGTGTCTGAGCTCAGTCCGTGGAGTGAGTTCACTAACTGGCCGTTGCTAACATGGGATCCAACAACAAAATGAATATGCAACCGGTTCACATAAAAATGATCATGCCAATTAGTACCCTCTAATGTTTTTAGATCAATAATTGTGTGCTCTACACTGTTTTACATGTTATAGACAAGAATATGGTGCAAAGCCCATTTGGTCCTCACAAGGAGCATTCATGTAGGCACCAGGGTCCACAGTTCTTCATGTAACACCTCTGGAGATAGAGAAGGGTTTTGGAACTCAGCAGTTTCTAGATGGTAGAAGGGTATGTAGGGCCTTTACTCTAATTACATAACACCTGCACAGGACCTGGGGTTGTTCTACAACCAATCTCCTTAACAATGCTGCTGTGAGATGTTGAAAAAGTGCAGATGCTAAGGGTCTTCCTAGAAGTTCTGCTCAGGTCTGCAGAAAATGGGTCAGGTCAGTGACATTTTAATACCAGATGACTGATGAAACATTACTTTTCAGAGATTTTGCATTTGGGAATTATAGAAAAGGAACAGTGCTTATGTATTTAATCTGCATTTTATAAATGGAGACCATGAGGCTCAGAGGGGTGATGTCACTGGCCCAAGTGCACACATGGAATTTAGCCAGTGGGATCCAGTGTGAGTTTGGAACCCAAAGCACCGTAGGAAAAGAGCCCTGACAATAAGTACTCAAAGGCATTGTGTTCAGGAAGCTCGAGCCACAGTAGCCCTGGTAGGTAACACTCTTGGACAACACCCAGGGTCCATGACTCTGCTGTCATCAAGGACAGTGTAGGTCAAGAGTGGAGCAGAGTTTATAAGCATTCCTATTCTCAGGGAGGCCATAGAGAGCCTGAGGCTCAAACAGCTGATGCCTCAGCAGAGCTGGCTAGATATTTGTGCCTGCTGCTAGACATGTGCAGTTCACTTTCCTCCCGCTGAGCCTGAGTTACCCTGTGAAAGACCTTCAAGGGCCTTGAGAGCCCAGGAGAACCTTGTGCAAAGCCCATCCCCACCCTAAAATACTACTTCTGTGTGTCTGAACCAGCTGTGCCTAATGGCTGCACAAGCCTTGAGATGCTATTGGTTAAATCACAGGAAGTGGAACTTCTCTGAGATATTCAGAATGGTTTTTTTTTTTTTTTTTTAGATCTTTAGGCTGCTGGCACTGGCACAATGGCATAGGCAGTTTAGATGAATCTTATTGTAGGGCTAATCGTTGAAAACAGTTACCTAGCAAGGATGTTTTTGACAACATAGGCATCTTTATTTCGTTTTCATTTTGTTGGAAAATCAATCAAACTTTGTACAGGAAATTAGCCAATTGAACCAACAAGGTAGTTGGTCTGTATTCCATCTTTACTGATCAAAATCAACAGCAGAAAATCATATTCAAAGGAAAGAACTACAATAAGCACATTCAGAGGAGGTTTAATGGGCACTACTTTCCCCATGCAGAAAAATGTACTTCCACTGAAATTTTTCATCTTAGAGAGCTATTTTTAGTTGCATGAGACACAAAGACTATATAATCATCATAAAGATGTCAGCTGGCCCCAGCCCTTCCCAGGCACCTGCTGGAATGATTCATTTGACTAGTGACACAGTATCTGCATATGGAGACCATTATGCATCTTCCCTGTGTTATAATGAAACATGAGTTATCAGTGCAGAAGGAAGTATTTCCTTCGGTACAAGTCATTGACCCTGGAGAGCGCTAGCAGCCGAAATACAGAGAAGTAAGAACTTGTGTGAAATCAGCTCTTGCTTATCTAAGTACAGCGTCAGTGTTACAGTTAAAGTCCCAGTGGCTGCTGGTGGAATGCTTCCTGTATGCTTTATCCGGCTGTCACAGTTTGGTGGTTCTACAGCCCTAGAGGCTTCATCACAGAGTCAAGAAAGGCCAAAGATTCTGAAACCATTGACCAACTAAGCTGTGAGTGAAAAACTGAGGTGGTTGTCAGGGAGTGGGTGATGCTTGTGGAATGTTCTAGTGCTGTCGTCCGGGACGATCCAGCCCTTAGTGCTGACTACATTGGGCGCTTGTGGTAGGAACCGCATTGTCCACTGGGACTTCAGTGGTCAGGATTGTCTTGGGAGTTCTGCCTGACAGTGAGTCAGAGGGAAGGCAGCCTCCCTTCATAGTGTCCATGTACCCAAGGGGGCAGATCCATCTCCAAAGTCCTGGAACACATCTGGAGCAGCCAAGGAGCACAGCTTAGAGGGAAAAGTTCAGGGTTTAGGGACAAAGAGAGATATCCAACCTCTGCCACGTATCACAGGTGAGGCCTTGATGGCATCTTCTGACTGTAGATTCAGCTTCCCTGGGGTCTCTCAGCCACTGGACGGTTACATGAGGTTCAGGAAGTATTCAAACAGAGCCCCGTAGACCTAGGTCTGGTGGGCACTCAGTGAACAGTGTCCCTCCTTTTGACACCAAGTGTTAGAGCCCCATGGGTCAGCATTGGCAGGGTGGAGTCCCTTCCAGGTGGTGAGGATCATGAGCACAGGGAAGGCGGCTCAGAAAATCCCTGGGGAGGAGACTGGGGTGGTTAAGATGCACACAGACTCTGGGTTCAGGGGCAAACCCGCAGGGTCTTCTCATTATCTCTAGAGCCTGGAAAACCTTGCTCTGTAGCCAGGCAGACTTGCCAGCACTGCAGTGATGCTCAGCACATAGCTCCAATTGTCCCTCTGGGTGCAGGGTTGACAGGTCAGGGAAAGGTATTGGTGACACTGCCCCTCACCCTGGTGGTGTGTGGAGACACCCTGGGGGAAAGCTGGTGTCTTCAGGATGTGCTCTGAGCAGGTGGCACATGAGGCCAGTACCCCATGGGCAGCAGCCACTTGGTTCCAACAACACAGAGGAAGATAAGGCCCTGTTCTGCTTCACCCAGTTCTCCCGAAACCCAGCGCTGTGGCACTGCCCAGATGCTGCCTTCCTTTCCGGAAAGGCTTGAAACTTTAATAGTAGTATTTCACCAACACACACAAGGAATATCTGTTGTCTTCGTTGTTTTCTCAGACATAACACAGGTCTTGGTATGGTGCCTTGATGTCACTTGAGCCAATCCTATTTTAGAGATATAAGTCCATGCTGGCAAATTTTCTGAATGCTTTGTATTCATAACTCCAGGAAAATAATGAAACAGAAGAGATGCCATTAAATAGGAAAACACTGGGGAAAAGAAGGTCATTTCATGACTATTTAAAAGATCATATTTTATTGATTGAACACAAATCCCTTATTTCTCTTTAGTCAACCATTTTCTCGACAAGGCCTTCAAAACACAACATAAGTGAGAAAAGTGGTACACAGGAGAGTGTTTGCACCACACACAGCACACATGGGTGCCGAGTGTCTCTGGAAGGGCGCAGGAGAAAGTGCTTAGAATAGTTACCTGTAGAAAAGGATTTGTTTTTCCTGTAGACCCTTTTGCACTTTCTAATGTGTGGAAACTGTATATAATGGAAACTGTATAAGTTTATGTGAATAGAAAACTATATATATATAGTTTTCTATTCACATAAACTTATATATAATGGAATATATATATATATATATATATATATAATGGAAACTGTATAAGTTTATGTGAATAGAAAACATTTTAAATAGGATGAAATGGAGAGAGGGCTAAAAGCAGTCTGGGTTGCAGATGAGCAGTAGGTTGGGAGAGAAGCTGCTTCTCCCTTGTTTTCAGGACACAGCCCTGGTGTGCACGGGGAGGCCCAACCCATTGAGGAGCATGCATAACCTTTTCTGCAGAAACCCTGCACATCACGGATTAGGCTGAACTTGAAGCAGAAGAACACTGTTGTGCAAACCTTTAAATTAAAAAAAAAAAAATGCTTCTGGCAGTGTATTAAAGTTTAAGGTCACTCCAAAGGACTATCATCCGTAAGAGAATGAATTTAAAATACCTTGCGCTCCACCAGGCACGGTGGCTGACGCCTGTAATCCCAACACTTTGAGAGGCCGAGACTGGCGGATCACCTAAGGTTGGAGTTTGAGACCAGCCTGACCAACATGGAGAAACCCAGTCTCTACTAAAAATACAAAATTAGCCGGGTGTGGTGGCACATGTCTGTAATCCCAGCTACTCGGGAGGCTGAGGCAAGAGAATCACATGAACCCAGGAGGTGGAGGCTGTGGTGAGCTGAGATCACACCATTGCACTCCAGCCTGGGCAACAAGGGTGAAACTCCATCTGAAAAAAAAAAAAAAGAATCCTGTGCTCACTCTGGAGAAGTTTCTTGATGGTCATGACATTTCCAACAAAATACTTAAGAATGATGGTTTCTTTAATTTGGGAATGGGATGAGGCTTTTCACTTTGACTTTCTCTTTTCATCCTAGCGTTTGGAGTAGCTAGGCAGGATGTTCTTTTCAAGTGTGGCATCACTTTGCTCCTGTCTCCCTAGAGTTCAACATGTTCCACATGATCGCCGTGGGGCTGAGCAGCTCCATCCTTGGCTGCCTCCTCACCCTGCTTGTCTACACCTACTGCCAGCGGTACCAGCAGCAATCCCACGATGCGACTGTCATCCACCCCGTCTCACCCGCCCCCCTTAATACCAGCATAACCAACCACATCAACAAACTGGACAAGTACGACTCGGTGGAGGCCATCAAGGTAAGGAGTCGGCAGCGACAGTGGCAACCAGGTGTGCACAGAAGGCGGGTGGACCCTGCCTTTATTATTATAAAAACTATCTTTAAATAATGTTCAAGCAGAGTAAAGGCTTTTCAACTCTGCATAATGTAAAATTGCTGTACCTGGTGTTGGGTGATGTGTGTTCTTAATTTCCCCCATGAGTAATTAATCCAGGATTTGACCCAGGAGTTTAGAGTAAATGGTTAGTTCCCTTCACATTCTGAGGAGGAAGTGGGGTGGGTATCAGCTTAGAACCTCACAGGCCTGGCTCATGGGTGGACATCATGTATACCTGGGTAAACCTGTGCTAGTTCTTTTCATTCACTCAGCCACCATTTTCTCCTCTATAAACTGGAGATAATGAGAATTAAATGGGATCATTTATCTAAAATGCTTTGAACAGTGCCTAGCAAAATAAATGTGGTTTTTACTTGAGGCACTTGGCATTATGGTTCAGAGTACAAGTTACTTACTTTTTTGAACCTTAGTTTCTTTATCTTCAAAATGGATATAAGAGTACATGCTCCTGTATTGCTGTTGTGAGGTTTAAATGTCCTAAAGAACATGAGGCTTGTTCTAACTGTGTGTACACAGAGGTGAGGGTGTAGCTGGAAACATGTCAAGGGCTTCTGTCCATTGCACCCAACCTCCCTTATTACCCACATGAACGAAGGGAAATCTCCTGAGCTAAGTTTAAGTAAATTTTGATATTCCTGCTAGGTGCCTGGTTTCCCATAACACTCGGAGGGAGTATTTTGATGCCTTTTCTCTGCTGTGGTGGTTTCCTTTGAAATTGAATTTTCTCCCTCTGTGAGAATAAGGACTATCTTTAGCCCTTGCGACTTCAGGTGGCTGGGAGACCTTATGTCCCAGGAGCCACAATGTCCATACTTGTCTCCTCTCAGCCACATGGCCTCTATTTTCCACCACCTGGATGGAGACACGCCAATTAACTTTTCCCCTTGGACCCTGCTTAAACCAAGATCCACAAGCCAGGAGCATCTCCCCGCTTACTCAGATGGTAGATCTGGGGAATGAACACCAGGAATTAATAACAGGCCCTTCCTAGCCTCACAGAAATGAGCTCCTAGAGTAGGGAGGAGGCTAGAAGAGGAGCACGAGCTTCTTCCATGAACAAGAGCTTTCAAAACAAACATTTGGATCTTAAGGAAAGGGTTCCTCTGAGCGTGATTCCAACGCATCATCTTGTCTCTGGTCACTGTTACTACGGGCATCAGAAGACAATTTACCCAGTCCTGTGTTCCCATTGAAGATTCAACAGCCATTTTTAAGATAATCAGAAATGTTTCTGCCATGAAGGCAAAGGACCTTGAAGGCACAGACAGCTGCCCAGTCTTTAATGAATCCTGCCAGAACGTTTTTCTGATACTTTGCCCAGACTAATCCTGGACAGATGGCCTCTGGGCACCCTCCTTCATCTTCATTTTATTCCTCTCCATATATGTCTTCTATCTGGCTCAGTTGAGGCTCTTTGAAACTGCAGGTGACTTTAATGCCTATGCACAGAAAATGGCTACAGTGATCACCTTCTAACAAGTTCAGGATGAAAAGCAATTAAGGCATTTGAAACCTGGTGCCCTTACTTAAATAAGTTCCGTCAAGGTCTCTGATAAATGTACTCACCCATGGTCATCTGAAAGCTACTTACATATCTATTCAGTTATATGAATATGAATTCAGTTGTATATATTCAGTTACATTCACACTGTCTGTTAATTTGAAATCATGAGAGTTTTAGGTTTTCTAGAGATTTAGAATTGGGTTTTCTAACCCCCTGCTTCTCTTGGTAACTTCATAGCTAAAGTTGAAAACTTCACCAGAAGATATCACAAGCTGCCAACCTTATTCTGGTAATTAGGCAAGTCCTCCATGAGGCAAATCATCTGGGGAAGCAAATAAATAAGAAAACATATTTTAAAATAATGGAGCCTTAGCAGAGAGCTCAAATTCAATGTAATAGTCATCCTCGTTTACTTAGCATTCTTAAACCTGTTTTTTTTTTTTTAAATATATTTTCCAGGCATTTAACAAAAACAACTTGATCCTAGAGGAAAGAAACAAATACTTCAACCCACATCTCACTGGGAAGACCTATTCTAACGCCTACTTTACAGATCTCAATAATTATGATGAGTACTAACAGTTCTTATGTTTTTGGCTTCTTGTAAATCCCCAGTTCCTCAAGGCCTGTGCCCCATGACTGCCCATGTTTCTGAGGCTTCAGAATTGAAGTTTGGATACATTTCAAGTGCATTTCAAGCCACCGGAGTGTCCCATTGCTGCCAAAAGTACACATTTTTAAAAGCAACAAAAATTGAAATAGGACATCGTGAAAATCTTGACCGTTGTTGAATGAGTCAGGGTGTGAAGTTTTTAATTGTGTTCATCCTGTTTTTCTGATAAGTCCCTTGGTTTGTTTTTTGAGCTTTATTTTATAAATGTGCCACCCACATTGGAAGGAGTCTTTAGAAATATGAATGTCTTCTTGCTTTGGGGTGTAAATCTTCATGATGTTTTAATTCAAGAAAATAGGCACTTTTTTCTGAGAGACCTGCTCCCTCCACAAGAAGTGCTTAGGTCCATAATATTTCAAAACATGAAGAAAAAGAATGTGGCCAAACAATTATTCACCATGGATCGCCCAACTTCCCAAATCTGGATAAAGCTATGGGATTCTTGGAAGCAGCTTATGTGTTTTCATCTTGCCTGGGAAGCGCAGGAATTCTACCTGGCCCACATCTGCATAGGTTACAGTTGACTGTGAGGCTCACCTTGCTCCTGATGCAGTTTCTGTGCCATTGCTGGTGGAGGGAGCGGAGTAGAGGTGCAGGCACAAGGAAGCGTGGATGTGTTCTGCAGGTTGCTGCAAAACTCGCCTTATTCTGACTTTTGGATTTCATGGCATTCTAGGAAGTTCCTTGCCATGCTGTTGACCTGGAAGCCCACCCGTCTGGTCCATAGTAATGTCCTGAAGAGCCAGTCTGTAAAATAACCAACCACTTACTTAGCGTTTGGATAGACTCCACACCTCCTCTCTCCCTGCAAAGAAAAGTCTTGAACATTTATGATGTCAATTAGTGAAAGTATTGAAAATACTAAATTATAACTAAAAGCAACTTTTTATGTTATAGAGAATATTGAAAGAACTGATATTAATGATAACCAATGTTTTATTTTTCATCTCTCTGATATAACCAATGTGTGGGCAATCAGCCCCTACCAAGAGCATTAATGCCATGTAAAGCTGGCTTTCTGGAGTCCACCAAGTCCATACGAAGTGGTACCCCCAGTTTCTGCTGTTACTTGCTGCCTCCAGGCCAGGGGAGCAGGAGATGCTCAGCTCTGGTGCCTTTTCTTTTATTTCAGTGCTGCCTTCCCACCCACCCAGTCCATCCACCCTCACCTCTCCCTGCATGGAGGCAACAGCATTTCAAGATGCACCTTGGGAAGTCAGGATAGCCGGAAGTAAGGGTTTTTGGGATCCCTGTGGTCTCATCGTTGATCATCAATAAGCATTTAAGAGTGTGATAACACCATTCACAGAGGTCCCCGGAAAAAAATATGTATGTTTCTCACAAACAACTGATACATAACATATGGCAGTTGGTTGAATAAATATTGAAAATAATAACACGACTGAAAAAGTTCATCTGATGCCTCTGAGCATGTGATAAAGTCCTGGGTGGACATGGAAATGTGTTCTTACTGACAAATGAACCTTCAGATCTATGAAAAAATATATAGTAGGGGTACTAAGGAACACAGAATTTTATTAGCATATGTGCTTTTACCCTTACCCTAGTTTCCAATTTAAAGAAACAATTTCAGAAAGTGTTAGAAGAATTCTGTGTTTAATAATGAATATTGTTGAGTTCAAAATATAAATATACCCAAATTTACAGAAATGACACGGTATTGAAATGGCAGGTGGGCTCTGTAAGTTCTTTTGGATTGCAAGTAAATGACATTCAGGGTCTTTGCAGTGGGGACTTCATGTTGCCTCTCACGCATTCCTCATATGTCAGAGTCTTCTGTCTATATACACATGATCAAAGCCCATACTCAGTAGGGGAAATCTAGCCAGCTCGTTCTCTAATTGTTCCTAGGTTGGATTTTCATCAGGTATTTCAACTCATCTCATCACTTTCTTGTAAGAAAAAAAAAAAAATCACTATGTAGCACATTTTAGTTATTTTTTTAGTCTTCTTCCCTAATATTTTGTAAGCTTAAAGGGACATTTTATTTTCCCTGGGAAAGAGAATTCTAATATTTCAAGAATACTTCACTGGAATTGATGGGAAATGGTTTCTAAATGCCATCGAAGCTGGTCTTTAATGAATATTTTGCAGTGACTTGGGAAAACACCCTCCCTCGCTACAGGATCTTCGTGTTGTTAATAATATAATATAAACCTTTGAAATTAGCATTGCAAAAGAATCCCATTTTTGTTTCCTACCACACTGTTCACAGGAACATTGTTTCTCTCTCTTCCTTTCTTTCTCTCTTTTATTTGACAGAATAGCAAGTGTTTAGATAATTTCAGGTATATTCTAAGTATTTTTACCAGCTGTGGAATAAGTTGTGTTTCTCCATCACTGTGTAGCTCCTGTTCACGTGTTCTGGCTCCATACTCCACGCCTAATGAGTGAACCCTTCCACGTTGGGCTTTCACAGTGCGATCTCTCCCCTGTGTTGGAACCTCCTTCATAAAGCCGCTCTTCCTTAGGACTGGGCTGTTTGGGAGTCCTGGTGAAACTTTGTGGTTCACATTTTAAATTCCTGAATGACCTTTTCATTCTCTCTTTATCTTTGTTTTTGTCCTTCATTCCCTCCTTTTGTTCTTCCTTCCTGCCTTTTCTTCTTTCCTTTCTTCTTTAATTATTCCCTTATTCTTTTTATTTTTCTTTTCTTTTTTTTTTTTTTTTTTACAAGTGGAACAAAAAGTAACAAATAATTTTAAGCTACACCTGTCTGTACCTGATGTAAAATGACATTAATCACTATTTAACTTCTAAAGTTATTTCTGAATATAGTTGGAGATTGGCTGGTTTTCATGAGGAAGCTGGCTTTAGTCTTACATTTAAATTCTTTGAAAGTGACTCCCAGTACTATTCAGGGTCCTTTCTTGAGGCTAGACTCATCACCATCTAATATTGATTTTACAGTGTACTGACAGTTTACAGGAAGGAGAACAGAATTTCTGTACACTGTACAACATGTGGGCTTCCTTTAGCTCCAGGGACATGTGACTTTGGTGAAACTGGGATTTTGTAACCTCTGAATGATATGGACTTAGTGAATTCTAAGGAACTCATGGGGCACGTGGTCAGGCTCCACCGCACGGAAGAGCCACAGTCTTCAGACTCATGGCATTCCTTCCAGAACTCCCCATTCCACTCCGAGCATATTTCTATGCTGCTGCTTCTTGTGACTTATATGAGGCATCTCAGCTTCCTCATATGTGTGAAGATGTTTCCCTAAGTCTGTTCAAGTAGACTCTCGCTAGAGTTAGCATTCATATTTGAGGGAAATAAAGAGCATTTAATGTGTTTGTGTGGGGCTGAGGTTCTAAAAGAATTGAAAAGAGATGATGAACATTGAATGAAGGTGAGGGCATCCCTGCCGGGGAGAAACCTCTGTCCCTAAGGAGAGTCCATTCATATGTTCATATGGTCTGGGATGAACCAGGGGTCTGGCCCCATCGGGTCACAGGTGATGGCAAATAGAAAAGAAGCAAATGAAGGAAACAGTCGGATAAGTAGGTGACATGAAAGGCGGGACCTGGTTACCTCCGTGAGTGCTATGGACAGTTCCCAGAAACGGTGGCCCACTTCACAGGTCCATGGGTCTGACCCTTGGATTCTGCCAGGATCAACTGCCCTGAGTAGCAGAGTTTTAGTCAAGGGCGTCCTTACTTCCTCATTCATCTGCAAAAGGATGGAAATTGTGGGAGTCAGAGCCTATTTTGCTGAGTGTTCCCACTGGAGTCTCTGGTAGAATTAGTGAGTCATGTTGTCAAAGTCATGGACAAAGGCTGGGTGCCCTGGCTCATGCCTATAATCCCAGCACTTTGGGAGGACACGGTGGGCGGATCACCTGAGCTCAGGAGTTTGAGACTAGCCTGGGCAACATGGTGAAACCCTGTCTCTACAAAATATGCAAAAAATTAGCCAGCCATCGTGGTGCACGCCTGTGGTCCCAGTTTCTTGGGAGGCTGAGGCCGGAGGATCATTTGAGCCCTGGAGGTTGAGGTTGCACTGAGCTGAGATCATATCACTGCACTCCAACCTGGGTGACAGAGAGACCATGTCTCAAAAAAAAAAAAAAAAAAGCAAAGTCTCAGTGACGTTCTCCATGTCCCCAAGTGGCCCTCTAAGGGGATCATTAGCATATAATCGAATATCAAAGGGAATTTTACCTTAAACATATATCAAGTCTATACTTAGCTAATCATTTTATCTAAACACAGCCTTGTTGGCATTTGAATTTACAAATATTCATTTGCTTATTTGCAGTGTTCCTTTTGCTTTTAGAATAAATCATAAATATTTCCCCAATACTGTCAAGATATTTAGTCATCAACGTTGTCCCTGGGCCATCAGCTTTCTTTAGGCTCCGGGTGTCATTCACATTTCAATGGGGTTTTTCTTGTGTGTGGTGTTGGGGGTAACTCCACTGACCTCAGCATTTCTATCTCAAGAGACGGCTCTGGAACACAGAACCAGAGGCAGCAGCTACCAATGGTTGATAAAATAAACTGCAACTGCCTGACCATTTTCCACATGGCAGGGCTGTGCTTAAGCCCCACACCTCCAATAATCAATGTCTATGAAGGTATCAATAACCTTAACTGTATGCAAATTCTTCACCACTTACAATATGGTACAAACTGGAGTTTACAGATGGCCTCGGCCATGCCTGCCCATTCGTTCATCCTAACTTCTTCATCACTTCCTGGTGTACTCGGGGAAGCATGTTGATACAACATTGCCGATGTTTGATTACCTGTGGTTATCTGTAATTACCTATGCTTATCTTGTCATACACTAGATGCCATTTGAGCCCCTTACTTCTTTGGGCAGTGGGTGAAATGGGAGAACATAGAAAAATGTTCACTTTGACCTAAGAAATGCACAAAAGGGAATGCCATGCACGATGTAAGATAAAATATTTGGAGACAGGGGATCATCGTGAAATTTATTTCTGCTATTCTCACCTATTGAGGTCATTAATTATAATTGATTTAAATATTTTTTTAAACTCTACAAATACTGAGCCAAGGAATTCAGGTTATGTGCTCTGTTAACCTAATGAAGCAAAGGAAAATATGTTGCTTTAATCCTTGCTTGTTAACCTAATAAAGCAAAGGAAAATATGTTGCTTTAATCCTTGCTGCTTTTCTCGTTTGGTGATAGAAAAGGTAAACAAGATGTAATGTTGAACTGCTGGTGATGATTTCTAAACTGACTCTTTCATACTGCTTTCCTGCGGACTTATATTAAAGATGCATTGTACACATTGTTTTAGCAGATAGACCAGAGGTATATTCAGTGGTCACCTGTTGCATTATCAGAAATGTGGTATGTGTTACAGGAGCATGAGGAAGAGAATCCTATCCTCTTTTGAAAATAGAGTTCACATTGCAAGTGACATAGAGCATTCTCAAAACCAAATTCAGAGCCTGGCACAAAATGTACAGTTCCTAGTGAAAGCTGTCTCAAAACACAGTCTTTTTGATAGATCATATTAGATCATATCTGCCATAGAAAGGCTTACTCCCTGCAATCGGAGTCAATATCAATTCTTGCTCAAGCAAACATGTTTTACTGTGTTGGTGCAATGGCAGGAACTAGTCAAGGGTACTTTCAGACCTGGAAGGAGGAAAGAGGAGGTAGAAAATCACTCTTTTGTGCTTCTTAAACTGTCAGTCAAGAAAATTTATTCCACCCCTTCATATTTGCTCTAAAATCTGGGGCCAGTAGTTCAAATGTGATCCTGTTCTTTCTCAGCCTTTTGCAATTTAATGCCAAATGGTCCAAATGTTAGATGAATGGCGGTAATAAAATGATTCAAATGTTAAATAAATACAAGCTGAGAGCAAAATCTGAACTCTGAAAAATCAGAACTATTCTATCATGTTGCTAAAATGAGAGCATCATTTTCTCCCCTCTCTGTTAGTGCGGATAATTTAATTTCCTAGAAAAAGTTGCTAGTGCCTTGTTTACGATGATCATTTATCATTTCATGTGGATACTATTGGTCCAATTAGAAGCAGAGATTGATTGGATTTACTTTAAAGAAAATTATTCTCCTATGCCTCTTTGAACTCAGGAATAGAAAATGATCGAGAAGCACATCATCTTCAGATGTGATTTTTGCCCTCATTGGGGATGTAGAACCAGAATAAGTACAATATATGTTCAGAAGAGAGGTGACCTCAGTATTAGCCTTCTAGAAACTAACATCACTTTAATTTTTACATGTTCCAAAAAAACATGATAGCGTTTGTTCTGTAATAAGAATGTCAGCATGATGCCTGTAGAAGGTAGAGGTTTTCGTTTCTGTTTATCTTCAGACAAGTCCATAGATAGAGGAATATCAGACACAGGCTGGTGACAACTGGCATAGATACAGTGAGCACGGAATGAGAACCACCTACAGCATTGCCTGATTATTTTTAAGTTCATATCAAAACTGCTTCACAAGTTCACAAACGTTGTCACTCTTAATTTGGGTTAAGAAAAGTATTAGTATTATCTCTACTGAAGTTGATTGCTTTTCTCTTGTACTGTGACTGTTGGCCAAAAGCAAGCTGAACTTCTGCACTTTGAAACAAAGCACAGTATGAACCTTTAACCCAACCACCTAGTTTCACCACTGAGATTCTACATCATCGGCAAGAAAATGCACAAACTTGGTCCAATGTTGGATTCTTCAAAAGTGCATAGCAAAACTTTTGTGCTATGCAGCTTGATGTGACTTTTAAAGATGTTATCAAATGTTAAATGCCTCATTCTGTGTTAATTTGCTGTTGGCTGTTTTGTGACACAAAATAAACTTATTTGAGATTGTTTCTTTTTTTTTTTTTTTTTTTTGTTAACCTTCTCTAAAGCCAATTTCAGCCCTTGGTAAGCTTGCAGACAAGCTGCAGACAAGTTACTGATCTTAAATTTAATTTTGAAAGATAATGTATCTTAATTACAATTTAGCTTTTTAAAACAATGAGACAACTTTACATTTCCCCTTTGTTTTAATGAGAAAATGGATCTTGGGTTGCTCTGCTAGAACGCTTGTGGATTGCTGGGTCCTTCCTAAGGGGGCCATGGGCACACCACACTTTCTTTCAATCCTTACATTTGAACGATTGATAGTCTTCAAAACCTTCTTGTTAGATGTACGCAATAGAAATTTCTAATGGTCATGACTTCTATCTTTCCTGTCCATCAATTCACTGGTTTTCAATGCTTCCCGAGATAGCTGTCTAGGTCTGTATCCCAGATCATTGCTTAATGACACCTGACAGATACAGTGTTTTCTGAAATCAGCTTAAGACACCAATTGTGGCAACTGGAAGCTCATCACCTGCTACATTGGATCAACTATGGAAGTCGGAGTAGGGGTGGGTGGAGGTTACCTAACCAACCAGTGGAAGTCAACTCACACCTGCTCCAAGCCTCAACTTTGAGAAACAAACATGTTTATAAGAAAGAAAAACATAGCTATTATTACAGGAGTGAATATATTGTGCTCTCTTACTGCTCTTGGTGCATTGCCAGTTTCTGTATCTCAACCCTGTTCATCATCTTTATGAAAAAGCATTCTGAAGATCTATCCTCAGCACTGCTGAGTACGCAGTCACCCTTTCCTAGCAACCCCCTTCTTACCATCTCTAGCTGCCGTTTGTGTGGGGAATAAAACGAGGGAATCCTGATTATGTACAGTATAAATTGTATTATATTTTTTGTACTTATGTTTTATGTAAATAGTTTGTCTCATTCAATTGTATGTGAGCATTGAAATAAATCCTACCGTTGAGGAGACAATGTAGTGGCGTTTTTCTTTGTATCGCCTCCAAGTGTGCTGTCTCCCCAGAGCTGCTAAGCAATAGCCACTGCTCAAAGGAGTGAGTTTCGTCAGACTGAAGTGCAGACCACTTCCTCCTGGGGAAACCTCATAACACTCCTGTTTAATCTTCAGGCCTTTTGAATGGTGGCCAGGACAGGGCATGAGGATGTATTAAAGCACTTTTAGAAATATTTCCATGGGCAACAGAAAATACGTGTCAAGGAAGGTCAATTAGGCTTTCTGTTTACAAAGCGTTGGTATCAGGTTGAGTGGATGAATGATGCATTGAGTTGTATTATACTTACCCTCTCTCCGACACACCGTATTCCATGCTTCTTTGCATAAAACAAGGTTTTTCTTGAATGAACGGCTGTCAGTCAGCATGAACACAAAGATAAGAAGCTTGACCCAGGAAGACCACCCTGTTTAGTGAAAGCCATCTTTGAATGGTCATGATCCCATTAAAAAAGGAAAAAAAAATCGTGTATGTATGTATTTCTATATCTCATATATACACATATGTATACATAAATGTATATGTGTATAGTTATTTTATATATATTTCTCAGTTGACCAAAAAGCTGAAAAAGCCCACTTAATATGGGGCCAAAAATTAATAAAACTATATAAATAGATGAACTAGTGAAGCATGTTATAAAGATTAAACTGTTTTAACCTCCAAATTACTTATTTTTTTATTAAGCAATGAAAAATTAAAATTTTAAAGCATTACATGAATAACCTATGTTTGGCTGTGAGTTTAGAAAGTGAATGGAATTAATAGTGTCATACCATAATTTTATTTCTTGCCTTTTTGTTCCTGAACAGTTGTAATCTTGGTCATATGTGTTTTGATATTTAGATGGTCTCACAAAATGCTTGTGTATCCAGGTCCTCCTCCTTTCATTCACTTGCTTTAAACAATAAGTTGAAATATGACTTCAAATACCTTTCTCGACCTATTTGAAATATATGATGCAGTTTTTCATTTAAAGTATCTCCTCAAGTCCCATTTGGGGAAAATAGCAGAGAGGATTGAATGTAACTGACTGCACAATTATGGATATTTAGTCTAAGTGGAAATTTCCCTTAAAGTAATATGAAACTATTCTAAAATTATTCTTGGTTTATTTTTTATAAAATAGATATGATTTTCTTTATGAAGTCAAAGAGAAAATGGTGTCAGAGATTGCTTTTATCACATTATTCTGCTTGGTGTACATTTTTCTTGGAAGCATTGCAGCTCCTACCATGCCCCTGCAGGCAGACTGAGACCCTGGACGGAAGCCACAAGTTCACGTTTGGTTAACATAGATCTGAGTGTTGCAGAGATCTTAAGAGTAGAGGTGCTAAAAGCATGATGGAGGAAATGAAGCTCAAATATAATTATGTTTAATACAATTCCTCATATAATACATAGAAACTATGAGTTTGAAATAAAATGTAATATTTTGAAAATGAGCTTTATCATAGGAAACAGAAAACTGCTGAAATATGATTTTTAATTCTTAATCTAAGTGGCCTTGCCTAAATGGCAGAGGGTTGGCTGTTCCTCACAAGGATGGATTCACGGGCCATGTTTCCTTTGAAAGTAATGCATAGGTAGTGAAGACATCTACATTCTATCGCCTGTCCCCTCACTTTGCTTCCTCTCTCCTGCCTCCGAATCACTCTAAGTCACCTCCTGTTTCCTATAGTAGTTGCAAGTTACCTGGTTTCATGGTGCTTCTCTTGAGGTCCTGTGCCTCCTGGTGACAAGAACCCACCCTTCCCTAAGAGAAGGATGCTGGTGGCGGCAACATGTCTGGAAATCCCTATCAGGAACATGCATGGGAGATGACAGTGGAGCAGCCATTTAGAGAGTGGATTCCAGGCAACAGCACAGCTCACAGGGCCTCCTCTACCCAGCGCCACAAAACATATCACCCTCCCTTTGGAGCAATATATTTGCCCTCCTTTCTCTACTTCCTTTCTAGCTGGAAGTTCCAAGAAATTGTGTTTTGTGAAACAATGGAATTTTCTTGATCCCTGAATTTATCTTGAGGTGAAATGATAGTAGTTAAATTCCCTGACTTTACAGAGAGGAGAAGGATGCCTCAAGGACCCAAACAAGTGCGGCCAGGTTCAAACCCAGCTTGGCAAATCCCCACCAAGGCTGTTTTCCCTCCAGCCTTGTTCTTGGAAATAATTAAGTAAATTTCAAACTCCTGTCCAAAATCTTGGTGAACTCTTTAATCTCTGTGAACTCTTTAGAAAGTGTTTCATGAAAATACACTTTCCAACTCTCTGTGCTCGAAGACGTGTCCTGACTCTGCATTTAGAGTTCCTACCACCCCTATTCTAAAATCTGGAGACAATCGAAAAGTAAATAACCCAGAACAAGACATTCACATGTTCGCAGATAGTTGGAAAGGCTCCAGTATTCCTTCACTGAGCTAATAGGCAGGGATAAAATGAAGGGTGGCATGGCCCATGCCCTTTAAATAGCTATTCTCTTAGCTGCATTGAGTCCTTTACAGAGACAGAAGTTTAAGGAAGTAAATGCATGAGATTGGGAGGACACAGCAAATGCACAATTCCCAAGAGATTATAAATGAAGTTGGGTCGAAGGTCATTTGTTGGCCCCATATTTGATATCAACTTAGAAAATGGAGCAGGAGAAATGCCACATGTGGCTTCCCACCTTGGAGCTCTTCCCCACCCACCTTCTTACATCTCATCTTAACCCTCCCCCAAGAGGAAAAACACATACAATCTATTTCCTACTATTCTCTTTCCTGAGACTAGAATACTTATGGGATCCAGGCTTGGTGGGCCTTTCTCAAAAGAAAAGAGGGTGTCTGTGTGGGATGTTGTTCTTTCACAAATATTGGCTGTTATAATTCAACAGCATAATTCATTGACACATGTTCCATCTATTCTAAATTTGAATAATTGAAATTAGTACATGACGTTTTCAGTAAGTGCATCCCATAAACAGGGAAAATGTTCATCTTCCCTGAAGAAAAGTCAAACAGACCATTTTGAACAGCAGTTAGCATGCACACATGGGATAAGCACATGACAAATGAACACTGTCAGTTACTAATGAGATTTTTATAATAGGGCACACAATTTGGGCTAGCCATTCTCCTTCTTATGTAAGCAGTATTATTGCTTGTACTTGAAACCATAATTCTTTGGAAAAGTTCATTAAATCAAGCATTTCACAAAAATTTGGGTAAGTTACAAAGACTTTGCTATGTTTTGCTTAAGCATTAGATATACTCAGGAAGCACTCATGAAATAAAGATCCTGCCTTATTAAGAGAAATTTCCCTCGATCTAATCTGCATCTTTGAATGGACATGGGAGGATGGAGAAGGAAGTTGGGACAGGGGCTTAACTTCAAACCCCGAAAGACAGGTTTAAGTAAGCCTGAAGATCCAGAAATGATAAATGGCTCAACGATCTGACTTCCTTATCCCCACTCCCTGAAGGTCAATCTCCTCATCATTCCATAGGGCAGTAACATATAGAAAGAACATGAATGATAATAAAATTGAAAGATATACCATCAATGCTTGATACATAGTAAGTTCCTAATAAATGATGGTGTGGTTGTCATTATTATCACTCAGGGACTCACTTTACCTATATTCATCTTCTCTCCCTGGGAGCAGTGCAAGCCATTTTCCCTCTTTAGACTCAAAATTGTAGGTGAACCAATTTTATAAATTAGTAAGAGTGACTGCAGAAGCCTTTGAGCCTGAGTGAAATATATGCGCCATACAAATGAGGAGAAGGTTCACGGGAGGCCCAGGAGTAAATTCACGACTGCAGTTAACAATCAGGGAGGCAAGCAATATTCTCTGGAAGTAATTACCACTAACCAAGATTGGAACCTTCAACTTTTATAATTTAATATGTTACCTATCTATGACTTGAGAAATTAACCAATAATAATGCATAAATGTGTAAAACATGCCTCATTTCTGAAGACAGAAGGTTATTCCTTTACGGGAAAGTGGATTACACTCCTGCCTAATTCTTGCCTGCAGAGCTCTGATTTTGCTTTCTCTCTAAAGCAACCTGCTCAGGTGAGGGAAATAGTTTTGTGTTGTTTTGGGAAACACAGGTCTGAGAAGTGGAATCCAGTAACCTGTCAAAAACCTAGGGCTCAAATATTGTATATGAAAAGCTAATTTGTTGCTTCATGAGGAATCTTTCTGAATGTTTAAATTTTCCTCTGTCACATACTCTTGAGATAAGACTTTGGGTATCAATTCCTAATATTGAAACAATGATCATTGATAAGATGGAAACAATGCAATAAAAGGTCAAAAATATAGTTGTCTAATGACAGCAAATATCACACATTTAAGCACAACCTTTTAAACATTCAAAAGGTTTGAAATATGAGGCTTGATGACCAAGAGGACTGTTGTTGGCTTTGCAGAGCGTGTTAAAGATCATCTGGAAGGGACAAAAGATGCAGAAGCTAAGTTTCTGTTTCTGATTATGATGGCAGTCTCTATGTGGGACAGGATGGCCAAGGCCTAAAGAATATACACACCAGAAAGACAAGGATTGGACAAAATAAGTTCTAATATTTTAATAAGCTCTCTGTGGGCAGACACGAGCTCTTTCTCTCTGATTATTATAACATAGGCACCAAAGCCATGCAAGTGAAAAGGAAACAGCCCTGGTGAGGCGACTCCTGGATTGATACTTAACACAGAGATGGATTGGGAGTAAACACAGCAAGAGGGCAGCCGGGAGGGAAAGGCAAAGTGGTCAAAGGATTTATCGGGGAAAGAGGAGACATGAAGAGACAGGTGGAACACAATTTATTAAATAGAATTTGATTTTAATTGAATTGATTGACAACTAGGTGATTGAACTGGAAATTTCGTTGAATAAATAGCAGAGTCAAGAATGAGTTCTCCTTATCAAAAGATTTTGTTTTTGTTTTACATAGTACTAACAGCTATAATTGC